AGCAATCGCCGAATTTCCGCGTCCAACTAACGTAAAGAGCCTTAGAAGCTTCCTAGGACTCGCGTCATGGTATCGACGTTTTATAGACCAGTTCGCGCGACTTACTACTCCACTGACGTGTCTCCTAAAGAAATCGACGAAATGGAGCTGGACTGAAAGCCAAGAGGAGGCGTTTCTCGGGCTGAAACGGAAGTTGACCACGACACCGATATTAGCTTGTCCCGATTTCGGTAAGCCGTTCGTACTGCAAGTTGATGCGTCGGACGACGGGCTCGGTGCCGCGCTCACACAGAAGAAGGACGGAAAGGAGAACGTTATCGGCTATGCGAGTAGGCTTCTCTCTGACTCAGAACGTAAATTTACCGTGACAGAGAAGGAGTGTTTGGCGTTGGTGTGGGCCGTGAGGAAGTTCCGACCCTATATTGAGGGGTACCACTTCATCGCCGTCACAGACCATATAGCGTTGAAATGGTTGCTACGGCTTAAGGAGCCGACAGGCCGGTTAGCACGCTGGGTGTAAGAACTCCAGCAGCACGATTTCGAGGTGCAGTACAGGAAAGGCGTCGCCAACCGGGTGGCTGATGCGTTATCGCGGCACCCCGTAGGTGTAGCCGAGCATACGTCTATTGAGACAGCGGTCTGTCCAATTCAATTGGATGGAGGTCCCGACGCTGGAGACGGTCCCGAAAGGCCGAGTAATCAGTCGGACAAGTGGTACGAGAAACTCTGGGATAAAATGAGCGTCAATCCCGGGATGAACGACAAATATGTCATTCGGGAAGGCAAATTATATCGCTCGATTGGTCGGCAAACTTCGGAAGGTGATGGCCAGGAACAGACATGGAAAATGTGTGTTCCTAAGGACGAACGGGCTGTGGTTTTGAGAGAGGTGCACGACTCCCCTGCGGCTGGACACTTCGGCGTTAAGAAGACCGCTAAAAAAGTAAGCGAACAGTACTACTGGCCCGGTTGGAGACGTGACGTGCGTAAGTATGTAAGGAACTGTCCCGTATGTCAACGTTACAAGGTTGAACAGACGAAACCCGCCGGCCAAATGCATTTTCGCCCACCTGGTGGGCCGTGGCATACTGTCTCCGCGGATCTATTAGGTCCCCTCCCGCGTTCGAAGAAAGGAAATCGCTTCGTTGTCGCATTTCAGGACCAATACAGTAAGTGGACTGAACTAGCCCCTTTGAAGGACGCGACTGCGTCTCAGGTGGTGCTTAAGTTCAAGGAACTCGTCTTGTATCGATTTGGCGCGCCGGATGTACTCATCACGGACAACGGTACTCAGTTTACCTCGAAAATAATTAAAGATATGGCAAAGGAATGGGACATCGAGTTTCAGACGACTGCGCCCTATAGCCCGCAATCTAATCCCATCGAGCGACGTAACCGCGTTCTTAAGACTCTTATCGCTCAGTCAGTGAAAGGCGATCACCAAACGTGGGACGCGAATCTGAAAAAGATCGCGTTCGCCGTAAACACAGCGTGCCACGAGTCGACAAAGTGTACCCCCGCGATGTTGTGTTACGGGCGCGAACTCAGGCTCCCTGCGGCAATTCGAGGCCCGCTGTTCGTCGCGAGTCGGAGAGGTGAACAGCCGACGCCGGCTGACATACATATGGAACGTATGGACCGTTTCCGGAGGCTGTATGATACCACTCAGAAGAATCTTAAAGCTGCGTTTGATCAACAGGCTAGATCTTATAATCTACGAAGGCGTGACGTTCGGTACGAAATTGGTCAACAGGTTTTAAAGCGGACCCATGTACTGTCGTCAGCTGTTGACGCGATCGCGAGCAAACTCGCGCCAAAATTCGATGGTCCTTTTGTAGTGAGCAAAAGGAGAGGGTATAATTTGTACGTGATAAAGGACGTGGCAACGGGTAAAACCACCGTGGCCCATGTAAAGGACCTTAAACCTTTCCATTCGGACGATAAGTAGGTCAGAGGTCTAATCCGGTTTTATTGTTTATCGCTTAGTGAGGTGCATTTACACTCATAGTAGTTTCATTTAGTTCACCAAACTTACATTTCTGTGTGATACTTAGCTTGTGGTTGCGGTTGTGACTAGTGCATTATAATACTTTAGTAGGATTTCCCTGTCGTATTTTATTAGTTTATATTTATTAATAAACTCTCTTTCGCAGGTTTGCTTCGTGTGCACGCTCTGCATGCTTTCGCACCCTGCTTGTGCTTCAAATTTCTTATCTTAGATGCTTGTGGTAGTGCTTGGTGAAGTGTATTGTGCATGAGACTGCTTTTTCTAAAGTGTATTAGTAGTTATTGCGCACGATGGCATGTGTAAGACCTCTTATTACGCTTTGCCCGGCTGAAATGGACTGTTTGTATCCTGGGTGCTCGTTGAACCCTCACGTAATGAATGCATTTTTACGATTGATTGAGAGGCGGAGCCGATTTTACATTGGTCTACCCAGTGTGTTTGCGTTCCCAGTTAATTTTTTTCAAGAATGGGCGGATGGTGGATTTGAGCGTACTCGTTCGTTGACGACGGGAATGGACGTATTAACGCACTCGCTGCTGTTATTTCCTGTGTTGTTAAGTGGTGAAGATGGTAAGGGGCTCTGGGCCATAGTGGTCTGCAGGCCTGGTTCGGCGACGATCGGCGCATATGACCCGTCTCTAGTCAGTCGACGTCGAGAGATGGGAATCGTTTTCTCTTTCCTAGCGAAGGTAGCTGAAGAACAGGGAGACTGTTTAGAGGAGAGAAGCTGGAGATTTCTAGATACGCCGAGTGATTATCCCCGACCTGAGAAGTCGGAGTCAACGGGTATATTTGTGTGCGCCTGTATTTCTTGTATCTCGCTTTCGACGCCATTCGGGAAACTCCAAGTCGACGAAAAGCGTTGGCGTCGTGACGTTGCGACAGCCTTACGACGGGGACGATTGGAGGACGAAGTGTTCGACCTGTTGGAAGTAAACGTCCCTAGGGAACAAGATCTGCGGTACGGAGGACGTGTCCAACCATCTCACTTATCCCGGTTGACAGTTACGACATCCGACTCGTCAACAGAGGTGGTGGACGTAGCGATAGACCCGGTTAGCTTCAGGTCGTATGGGTCACCGCGATACGTCCCGATTTTTAGTAGAGAGGAGGCAGCTTCCGGCGAAGAGCGAGTAGTGAAGCAGGAGACGGAAGAAGTGAAGTCACCAGAAGCGGCGGGGGGTGAGTCGCCCGCTCTGTCACTTACAGCCGATGATGGACGAGATTGAGGAAATGTGCAAATCAGTAGAGGGCAACGGGTCTTCGATTGAAGTGGTGGCTTCTCCAAACCGTAGTAGAGTCGTGAATCGTGAGGGGGGATTTCAAGTGACAATCCCGGTAAACGCGATTCCAATGGGGTCACCGATACTGTCGGATATTTCTAGTCCCGACCCATTCGAGGATTTTGACCCGGTTGCACGGGGCCAACCCCGACCTTATCGAGAGGAGCGCGTATCGGCGGAAATGGGAACAGCGACGTCTACCCAAGGGCCCACGACTATTACTGATTCACAAGAATCTCTTAAGAGGTTCCGGAACCCACAGAGGAACCGAGGGCGGAAACGAGTCCGCAAGACGTACCGGGTGCGCTTCCAGCGAGAAGATGGGACCACCTACCGGCGAAAGTTCTTAAAGGACGAATATCACCGGAATTAAAGATATGTGTCTTCCTAAGCGAGAAGCTATTTTTGGTTAAATTTTTATTTTGTTTTACGAGAGTGTTTTCGTTTCGTTAAGGAGGCAGGAGGAGAGTGTTCTCCCCGCCCACGAGTCGGACGAGTTAGGTTACTCGACCAAGCGAAGGTCGAGCGCCGTGCGGGGTGCGAAGGTTGTCGCCTCGTGGGATTATGTTTGAGTTGATACCTGCAGGCAGGAGGTATTTTTTTTTTGTTCGTTTTTTTTTCTCGCCAAAGTGAAAAGGGGGTGGAATGGTCAAATTTATTAGGGGGGTTCGTTTTAATTATTTAAAGACCACGAAGTGCTAGAGTGCGCTCGACAACAATCATCGGAAATAAACATGTCCAGTTGTCCACTTGTCAAGGCTCCTAGTTCGTGACTTGACCGCCGCGACCTCGGGGCGCTGACGTAGACGTGGTGGGGAGAAGCCGAGACCGGTGGACAGTGGACAGTTCTTAGGACAGTCTACGGCGAGCGCTTGTTCGCCTAACAACCTTCCTCAAGAGCGTGCAGCGGACCTGCGAGCATAGGTCGTGGATGTCGACTCGCAACGTGCGAGACAAAATACATAAAAGCGACAAAATAATAGATCGAGAGAAGTATCGTCAGACGTAAGTACAGCGGTCTATCATTGCGTTAATAATAATCTTATTTTCCCGTTTTACTTTGGCGAGTAAAAGTTAACCTTATTTACTATCATCTTAGTTGTAAGTGATTAGCCTATTGTATTTCTCGGGCCGGCACTGCGTGTGCGGTGTCACAGTAGCCTACACTTTTTAGTTTATTTATCAGAGGTTATTTTATTTTATTTTATCTAAAAGTATTTCATTTAGTTATATTTCGAAGCCAAGAAGTTCATTGGCATATTAGCGCTGACGCCATTTCATTTCGTTATTTTGTTATTGCGCGGGTCGACCTTTTATTTCATTACGAGAGTTTTATTTTTAGTTTCATTCGAGAAGCGATACCTTTTGTTAGACTAGAAGCTGGTCACTTATTTTAATTCTCATAACATCATCGTATTTAGTGCCGATATATTCCTGGTCAGCGCGTCGTTGTGCTGACACGCAACCATAGTCTCGGGTACGTGTAGGACGAAAACATATACGAAGATCGAGAGGCGGCGGGCGAGCGACGAGGACTGCTAGCGAGAACCCTGGACTACTCCTGAGCTGTCCGAGCAAATCGGAGGTAAGTTTACGATAGGTGCCCTACCCGACATAAACACCTCACAGTGTCTCTAGTAAAATTAGTTTAATCTAGATGTGTAGTGATTATAAAGAAATAAGTCAACAAGGATAAAACCCATGTAATTTGTTTCATACAATTTCATTTGTAGAAATTACATCTCAGATTTTCTCCAATTCCCAAGTCCATACACAGTTCCAGATTGAATGTGGATTGCCACAACGCCATCCTCATCAGGACGTCCAGGGTCGAACTTTGGTACAACTACGTTTGCTATTCCGTCTTTATTAACAGTTATTACTTTGCCAGAACACCCTGTAGTTGTAACTTCTCCAGATATTATATCACAATATTCTCCCTCAGGCAAGCATGTCTGGAACGGTATATATATATCTTGTTTGGATAAACATACAGGGTGATTGATATAAGTGTGCCAGCCGTTTTATTTGAAAACTATAAGAGATATCGAAAAAAGTCAAAAGGTAAGTGCCTTGGATTTTTCATTTAAAAAATTATAGTCAAGTCCAAAAAAATATTTTAGCCGTCATTTTTCCAATATGGCCGCCAACTTTGATTTTTCTTATTTAACACCCTGTATTTTATGATGTATTCTGGTAGAAAAAGTAATTTTAAGACGATTTTATTCTTGTCATTTTTTTCATAAACCTAACCGTTTCAAAGATAATAATGGTTTAAGTTGTGAAATTTTGAATGGTTTTCGAACAAAACAGCTGGCATGCTTGCTTATTAGGCCTTTATCGAAACTCTTTCTCATGCAGAAATGTCAAAACTTGAACCATTATTATCTTTCAAACGGTTAGGTTTATGAAAAAAAACACAAGAATAAAATCGTCTTAAAATTACTTGTGCTACCAGAATACATCATAAAATACAGGGTGTTCCGTAAGAAAAATCAAAGTTGGTGGCCATATTGGCAAAATGGCGGCTAAAATATTTTGTTTGACTTGACAACAATTTTTTAAATAAAAAATCCAAGGCTCTTACCATTTAACTTTTTTTTATACCTCTTATAGTTTTTGAATAAAACGGCTGGCACACTTATATCAATCACCCTGTATACTGTGAAAGGATAATTGATGGAGATGCTATGTATGGTGCCTGGTATCTTGTATGCTGTAAGTATACTATTCAGGAAGTGAAATATGTATATTGTGATGTGTGTATAGAGTTAGGTACTGAGACTTGCCCTGTGGTTTATTTGAAAGATAGTGAAATAGTGCCTAAACTTCAGAATTTAGCCTGTCTGAGCCCTAACCTATGTTAGCAGCTACCAAAACTGACTGATATAACCAAATTATAAATCTAGCTGGGGGCCACTGAAGGAAGAATTTTTAACATGACATGGCAATAAGTCAACCCAGCTTTGATTACACTAATTCATTAATATCTGATATTAAGCTTCCAAGAAGCTATTTTCTTATCATTATGTTAGTTTCTTGTAAAAACGCCAACAGTAATATTAGCTGATTTAACGTGCGGGAATAGTAATTTAATTATGTGTGGTGATGAATAAAGGGGATATGGTCTATTTTTGGGTACTGTTTACAGACGTAGTGATGTGATCATTTTCATGTAGTGTTTGGAAGTCTATCTTTTTCACTCATTGATTGGCGTTTGAAAGTAATTGGATGGGAATCTTATTTTCTGGCGTTCATACCTGGAGATTAACGTTTAATTCGACGGAGTCCAAGTTGAAAGCTACAAATCCTTTGTCCCCACGACAAAAAGCAATTTGATTTTTCCCATTGCTCCACCAACTCGTCACTGGTGTACCTAGGAAAACATTATACTCGTATAGGAAAATGTAAATCTTTTACATAGTGATAGCTCAGAGAATACCAATGCATGAACAGCGAATAAGAGGTGTTTCAAGGCCCTAGGCCACAAATGAAAGTTTATTTTTGGTATCGAAAGGTGCATTTACTCGATTACAATAGCTTTGAATATTCAATGGCAGTAGGCAGGCGGGTTAGCTGTCTCAGTTAGTATATTTCAAAATATATGATGCATCCTGCCATACAAGATACAAGATTATACATTACCACCATAGGTATTTCAGAAAAAAATGCCTTTTCAAAAAAGTGGCACTAATATTTTTGAATATCATAAGAAACTAGTTGATGTTCTCAATTTAATATTTTCTCGAAATCTAAATTTCGAGAAAATATTGAATTGAGAACATCAACTAGTTTCTTATGATATTCAAAAAATATAATTCCACTTTTTTTGAAAAGGCAGGAAGTTTAAAAATTACTTAAGAAACGCCCTATAGATTTTGAATTTTTAGAATGTAGATGTAATTTTTTATTTACTTTTTGCGTTTCCTTTTCCAAACTCATTCGTTTTGGAGCTACTGATGCAGGATGTTCAGCGAAAGTCACGTTTTTGATAATAGTAAATCACTGTAGCTCCTAAATAAGTTGTTTATTGAGAATTAAAATTCATTGTGTAGCCCCTGAACTGTTGATTAGACTAAAATTTAAGGCACATACCTTCACGTCCACAGTTCATAGATGTATGGTCAAACCCACTACACTACTACTATTTTTTTATTGAGAAAAAAGAGGTAAAGAATGAAATTTATTATAACTGTTTTTAAATCTAAACGCGTTATTAAATACCATTTTCTATGAGAAATTTTAAATTTCTTGGAATATATTGGAAATTAGCAGCCATTATTGAAAAAATAGTTTTAAGATTTTTATGTCATAAGATAAAATGAAGTTCTCAGTTTATGTTCTCTTTAAATCTAATAGTTTTTAAGACACCAATGGTGGCACATTTAAGCTGTCAACACTGTATAAACTGAATGTATACTGACTAAGTTACCAAACATACAATTAATGACTTATTTACTCATAGGACATGTGCCCCTAAAGGTAGTAGGTTTACGAAGAGAATCTTCAGGAAACAATAGATCTACAGTTATAATCCAAAATTCTAGCATCTTACAAATATGAACAAATTTTCGCAACTAAATTGTTTTTTTTCTATTTGGCTGCTTAGCAGTATGATATGAGTGATTGATCCAAGGGGGGTAAAGCACTCTCCACCGGACCATGGAAAATACTTTTTAACAAGAATTCCGTCTTAAAAACGTAACGGAAGTTTTTGGACACAGTTCTAGTCATTGAAAATTCCTTTACGAGGTCACAAAACGGTTTGATAAATACCGAATTTTACAGAGGAGACTCCAGTCCTTTTTATTTTCTTAAGAAACCTTAGCCTTCTCTACCTCCTCTACTTGTCAAGGTCAAAGCACCGCCACTGTATGAAATAAAGTAATAGTATTTGTGAAATTTAAACATTGTATTAGTTATTTTTCTTGATAATGAGACCAATACCCACATAGTACTCCTCTAAAGTCAAAAATCAAAATGACAATATGCCCACAACATTCCTTGATAGAGTAGACGTGTATGTAACTTACAACTTCAGTTGGTCAAGGAGATATATGGATCGAAGTAAATAATATAGATCTTGCAGCTTAGTCCTTGACAGTCAAATGTACACTTCACTAGATCAGTGGTTTCGTGTGATGGAAATTGAAAGACACCTTTCTATTACAGTAGTTTTTGTTGTACGTAGAAGATTGCCATTTGTAGATTAAACTAAACTCTCTGTCCCAAATACAAGTTTTTTTAAAGACCATTATTTTGTTGTTTAAATGTTTATTGCGGATATTTTCCACCACGATGGTCCGCAATTCACCTTGAACAACATTAACTCACCATCACCAACAATGAACTTCAAACAAAGGACCATTCTCTTAAGCTGGGTTTTCCTAGACGCGGAGTCGGCCAGCGGAGAGCGGACAACGGAGAGCGGAATTGAAATTAACATGGCATTCCGCTCCGCTGCTAGGAAAACAGTAACATTAAATTGCCGAAGACCAGCTGAGTCCGCTCTCCGTTGTCCGCTCTCCGCCGGCCGACTCCGCTGCTAGGAAAACCCAGCTTTATTGTATTTTAGCCTATTCGTTCAATTTTGAGACCACCGCCAAGCTATTTACTTCATCCACTACCATTCTAAGTGAATCGCTCGCCCTTATAGTACGATTAGTCTTGTTAAAGTGTACGAAAACGATGAAAAGTAAAATCGACACTCTCACTAAGTATAAGTTCCTTTGTTGTTTTAGGTCGTTACAGATTTTATATAGCTCGTTTGGCCACAGCAAGAGAGCAAAAGAGAAACAAAATGTTTACAGTTAGTTGACTGCCCATCATTGTGCACCCAAATTAACAGAAAAGATAGTAGAAATGCCCTGGTTTAAATTTCCTTTGTATATTGAAGTATGTATGTACTATAACAATTCAAACAAATCCTACATGATTAGATTACCATCAATGCCTTCTAATTTTGTTCCACTCTACCTTTGACAACGTTGTGGAATTCCACCGCGTTGTATATCTGACGCCATCGATGTTGACACTCCCATTTATTGGAACAGATGTTTTTTTTGATAGGATGAGGTGGCAGAGCAGGAGGGCCTTCATCTATACTTAAAAACTGGAAACTCGAAAATATCTTGCAAGTGTAATCACCACGTGCTAACATGAACACCACTGCCATCTGTGAATAGGAAAAAAAATACTTAAAGCCTATACAAAGCTTAACCTTAACCTTTTGAGTTTCTTAACCTTGTTCTAATCTTGACCTAATCTTAATCTTAATCTTTCTAATCTTAACCTTGTTGTTGTAATCTTGTTCTTGGTAAATGTTTTATTATTTATTAAAAAAAAAGCAAAACAGATTACTATTTAAAATATTAGTTGTAAACGTAGCAACGCGCGCTGGTTAACGCTATTTTTTAAATAAATAATCTAAAATTTTTGTATGGAAATTAACATAATTAACTGCAAAATAAGTAGTTGTTATGTTGATGAGAACGGCTCCAATTCTGTTTTTCTAAGAGTCCAGAGTTTTAATTATAAATGTTGGTAAATTTTGAATCATGGGGAACATTCCCAAACTGTAAATTTTAAGACTAGCCCACTTATAAGTAGTAAAAGCTGGTAAAAAATTATACAAATAAAACATAACCTAAAACTAAAAAAATTTCAGAATTAATTAATACACAGTAAACTCTAACCTTGTACGCCTTTGGATTCTTGTAGCTCAGAAAGGTTTTGTCTGTCATACGTTCCGTGATATTATTATCAACAAACACAACGCGTAGATTTTTTGGTAAAATACTCGCCTCTGAATCTGGTTAAAAAAATAACAATATTCAAAACTGTTTTGAATAGCTTGGTGTGCTAATATCAAAACTAAATATATATTTTTAATTATAAAACTTATAACCAGTAGCTATTCAACATCCATACTAAAATTTAGATTTAAAAACAACAAGGAGAAATAAATAAATTACAGAAAATACTTTAACTCATCTTTGAAAATGTAAACAATACCTCTTCCACAGTAAAACTGCAGACTAAGCGAATTTACATTCGTCTGGTTAAAATTTTTCCACCTTGTAAAATATCTTCTTAAAAATGTCATATTTTATTATCTATTTAGGTCTAATACATTAGTTAATTACATTTTACATTCGTTTATCGAGTGATTGGGTTTACTGCCACAGATAAAATAATAGCATGTGTTTTTTTGTGAAATTTCAAAGGTTCAGTAAATATTGAACAGTTTTCTACATGTTGTCGAAATCTTTATTAGACAGTTATTTATTTATATTATTATATGATTAAAGTGTCAAAGAAATGGCCCACATCTGTAGTTTTTCAAAGTGTTTTTCGTATTTTAAAATCTTTATTAGTTTGGGTAGGATCTTCCATCAAAGTTCGGCTTTCTTACTCTTAGTGCCAATTTTTTTCAGTCGAAGTGCAGTGTTATTTTCAAAAATCTCACGAGCAAGTTAAGTGGACCACGGTTCGTAATAGCCCACTGCAAATCATCAAAGGAAGAAGATAACGTGTGTGTTGATGTTCTATCAAGACTTCATATTGAAACAAAATCAACCTGAGGTGACCCACATTCGTTGTTTGAATGTTTATAAGGTAAACATTATCATGTTTTATGACCTCTTAAAACAAAATTTATTAGCAGATAAATGTTGTTCCTAAAAATTTTGAAGCCGTTCAGACAGAAAAAATATTACCTGTGTGTTAAAGATAATAATATTATTGTGTTTTTGAAGAATTGAAGTTCCAAAATGCATAAGATCTTATATTTTGCAGATATTGTACGCATAAAATCCTAGTACTGCTTCAATGAGGTATGCTGCAAGATATTAAGTGTGGTGGCACACATTGAAGTATATTTAAAGAGATATACATCTTGTCAAAAGAATCGAGATAATGTGGAAGAAGTGCCACTTTATCCTTGGAATGTACCTGTTAGAGTTTGGGATTGGGCGCATATTTATATGGCAAGGCCATTTAACGGATCTACCCTATGTGGTTTGTAGGTATTGATGTGTTGCCTTAGTAAAAAATTGTGGTTTTAGCCTCCGGCAACTAGAACAAAAACCCCCTTAACATTTAAAGCAAGTGATAAGTCATATTTTGCTATAAAAGTTGACCTTAACTAAAATAATGATTTCATTCTAGATGGAGCAAAAAATACACAGCTTGGCCCAAGTAATAGCCACTTCTAACTCACTTCTAAACAATGTTGTATTTTTTTTTCTTTTAACACACATTCTAACAAACCATCAAAAATATAAGTTCTAGTACAAGTAAGTATACATACAACTAAAAAGACTAAGCCCAACAAACCAAAGTCTTGAAGATCTTTTAGATCCTTTTTGCCTAGGAAAAACGTCCCCAACTGAAGGCCAAACTTAAAGTCTAGGACTAACCCTAGGGGGCTGTACTCCTCATACTTTATGGGCCCGGCATTATCTGTAAACACATCATTGATAAGCATCGTCATAACATTAGTTTGATTTTTACATCAGCTCTTGTTAAAGGTGTCATTAATCCATACCAGTGGTACAATATTAGTTTTGAGCATAAAGACTTAAACAGTTATAAACCTAGTAAAAATACCCCTGCCGCAGCAAACCTGCAGAATAAGCGAATTTAAATTTGTGTGATTAGATTTTAACTACAACATTTCCATACAAGCAAATAATATTTATTCGCCTTTTTGACATCTAGATTTGACGAGTGCTTAGATTTGCTGCTACGTGGAAGGGCATAGCGTTTTTAATCCAAATGGATGTTAAATATTCATAGTTTATTGTTTAGAATAAAATTAATTCATTTTATCAAAAAACATCCATAAGGAAACCAATCTAAACAGTTTTCTTTTTTCAATTAGAATATCATGGGCTTTTTTAATCAATCGGTTTTTTTTATTTAATCCGTTACCTTTGACCAGACAGTTGAGCATCTTTTACGAATTATTATTTCAAGCTCTATGCGATGCCTGTAATGAGGAAGTGAGGATTGGGCATTTCTATGTTTTATAGAATTTATCGCAAAAATATGTTAATAAATTCAAAATTCCATAGTATTTATTTATCATGACCCTATCTTGCTTGTATCGGGAACTCATTCAAGTACTAAAAGTACTTGAGTAATTGTGATCGTAGACACACACACACTAATAAAATATATTATTTTTTATATATATTAACTAGTGGTTTTTTGCCTCTACATCAGTTCTAGGCATAGTTTCAGGAGCTGAAGAACGAAATACAAGAATCATCTAAATAAAAGTATTATATCATAATCTCAAAATTATTTGTTTACTTGATTGCTAACTCATTTTTAATGGAAATTTTCCGTCCAGTACATTAGAACATGACTCTATTGTTTGGTACAATTATGGTAAGTGTTAAACTACTGCAACACTAGGTCTACTACAATTTATAGTAGTAGTTACTTTAGAGTCAAATATGTGGGTTGGTGTGTGTTCTGGTTTATGTGCTTTGATAATTAATAAATATCCCACTGCAGCATGTCTGCGGATTAAAGTGAATTCTTATTTACCTAATTAGATATTCCCTTAAATATTTCCATAAATATATCATATTGATTCCTTATTTAAATTACATTAGTTTGAACAAGTACTGGATAGGTTTGCCACTACAGGACAATAAAGCGTGCCTTTTAAGTGTTAGGCTAATAGCTTAGTATAAAATAAATAAATCTGCCAAGTTTGAGAAATCTACTCGTATGCACGAGAAAACTAAACCAGTTTACTTATTCTCCGTAAGAATAGCATGGGAATTGTAAACTTACAGTTTTATGGAATGCTTTGTGTAACTATTAGACGTACAACAATAATTAAATATAATAGATTTTTTCAGCCCTACTTTGGAAAGAATTATTAATTAATAATAACATTGGAAAGAAATTTATAAATTTAATGTTTTTAGAGTCCAAACTGGGGAAAACCTAATATTTACCCCATAAACCCCTGTTTTCATAGTCCGATCATGCTCGTTCGCAAACTCGTAAGTCGACCCGGGATTAAGGTTTTACCATGAGATCTACGGTAATAGCTTATTCCTTATGCGTAAGTTATATAACTGAGATTGACAATTAGCTATAATTACATGTCAAACATTACAAACCTAAAACAAAGACATCCTGGTATATCAAAGGTCTAGTTTCTGCAGGAAATCCTCGTGCTGTGTTAAGATAATTCAATCTTTCGTAAATCACTGACAAATCTTCAGGATACATTTCATTGGCAAAGTTTAATCTGAAATATTTGTAGATTATATCATCATATAAACAGTTGCAACGTGTTGTTCATTAACAAGGACAATCTTTCATATATCCACCATTTAAGATCAGTTCTGATTAAGCCCAGAATAATTAAACCATAGACTACAGTATGTTGCTCCATGTTGACGTAGTTTATAAAACAACATTAACATTTTGTAAAATACTCGCATAACTTATCCTTTGGTTAATAAGTGAATCTTTGCATTTAATCTATATCTATAAAAGAGGAACTATGTATGTGTGTTTATATATATATATATATATATATATATATATATATATATATATATATATATACGTTATGGACTCCGAAACCGCTCGACAGATTGTAATGAAACTTTCAGGCATTATTAAGCATCGTTTAAGGATGTTTCGAGTGAAGTTTGGTGCAGACCTGTCAAAAGGGCTCTGCCCCAGTGGGTTTTAAGTGGGCCAATGTCAGACTTTTTGATCTACAATGTTTACAAATAAATATAATTTAAAAGCAGATGTTTACTTTTACCAACTGTTTTGTAGGTTTGAATAATTACAACATTCTGTATTGGCATTAGTCATGATTTGAAATAGTGCCACAGTGTTTATTCAGAGTGCAGCACAGAAAACTATTTTACTTTTGAATAAGTCCAAATGTATTAAACCCCAATCGCAGCACACCTGTGCACTTAACAACGTTTAAATTCTCCAATGTTAAATATTAAAACAAAAACCTTTATCAAAGTATTATAAACAATAAAAGGGATGAATTTTTAAAATTTATGACAACAGCTAATTTGCAACCAAAAGGTGAGTGAGCGTAGCGAACGAACTTCAACCGGGACGTGATTGAGCCATGCGAATACTTATAAAGTTAAACGGGGCAAAGCCCGTGGGTACAGCTAGTATGTGTATAAATGTATATACCTCATTATTTATTTTCTAAAACTTAATACTCGCTCTCCCAGGCACATTGAACCAAGCCTGTGCTGAGTGTAGTGTGGGAACATGTTGAAGTCATGAAAATTGTACAGACATAATATGGCACATTGACAGTGATCTTTGTAACATAGAGAGATGTTGAAATCATGAACATATACAGATACTATATAGCACATTCCCATTGACAGTGGTATGTGTAATATGGGGACATGATGAAATCATGAAAATATACAGGCATATGGCAGATTGACAGTGCTCTGTGTAATATGGGGAAGTGATGAAATAATGAAAATATACAGGCATAATGTGGCAGATTGACAGTGCTGTGTGAAATATGGGGACATGATGAAATCATGAAAATATACAGGCATATGGCAGATTGACAGTGCTCTGTGTAATATGGGGAAGTGATGAAATAATGAAAATATACAGGCATAATGTGGCAGATTGACAGTGCTGTGTGAAATATGGGGACATGATGAAATCATGAAAATATACAGGCATATGGCAGATTGACAGTGCTCTGTGAAATATGGGGACATGATGAAATCATGAAAATATACAGGCATAATGTGGCAGATTGACTGTGCTCTGTGTAATATGGGGACATGATGAAATCATGAAAATATACAGGCATATGGCAGATTGACAGTGCTCTGTGTAATATGGGGAAGTGATGAAATAATGAAAATATACAGGCATAATGTGGCAGATTGACAGTGCTGTGTGAAATATGGGGACATGATGAAATCATGAAAATATACAGGCATAATGTGGCAGATTGACTGTGCTCTGTGTAATATGGGGACATGATGAAATCATGAAAATATACAGGCATATGGCAGATTGACAGTGCTCTGTGAAATATGGGGACATGATGAAATCATGAAAATATACAGGCATAATGTGGCAGATTGACTGTGCTCTGTGTAATATGGGGACATGATGAAATCATGAAAATATACAGGCATATGGCAGATTGACAGTGCTCTGTGTAATATGGGGAAGTGATGAAATAATGAAAATATACAGGCATAATGTGGCAGATTGACTGTGCTCTGTGTAATATGGGGACATGATGAAATCATGAAAATATACAGGCATATGGCAGATTGACAGTGCTCTGTGAAATATGGGGACATGATGAAATCATGAAAATATACAGGCATAATGTGGCAGATTGACTGTGCTCTGTGTAATATGGGGACATGATGAAATCATGAAAATATACAGGCATATGGCAGATTGACAGTGCTCTGTGTAACATGGGACATACAAATAAATTTGAATTTGGTTTGAAGCATGAAAATATACAGAAATATGGCATATTGAATACTTTAATGCATATTATGCTTTATTTTCTAACAAAATTATTTATCTTTCATTATATAGCATGATCTATTTTAAATAACGTATGTGAAGGCTAAATGTAAAACTTTTTACCTAAAACCAGCTACTCCGATTTCAATCAAGTGGTTTAAATAATGCACTATCTTCTCCCTTACTGATTCAAGGGACTGGTTCAAGTTATTCAGTCCAGTTCCTGGACACTCTCTTATCTACACAAGCAAAACAAACTCTGATATAATAAATATAACTATTTATCGTAAATATATTAATGATATACACTTTGCATTTAAGAATACAAGATTTTAATTTTCAGTATAAATAATAAATTGATTGATGGTTGGTTAATAACAAAATATAGTGTTTCATGTTGAAATAATTAATTTATTGAAAGAAAATAAAAAATGTTTCTTTAACACAAAACCCAAATTTGAAGTAAATATTACACAACATATTGCAGACATATATGTGAAACATTAGAAGTACATAATACGTCTGTTTAGGTTTAATACCCTCCCTGCAGCAAAACTGCAATAAGCGAATTTCCATTTACCTGGCTGGATTTCTACAAAAATATTCCCTGAAAATAGTCAAATTTTTATCTATTTCAACAACATTAATTTTAAAGAGCAACCTAGGTTTGCTGCTCCAGGGAAGGTTTTGAATCGTGTTTTTATTGAAATGTTGATAGCTTAGTATTGAATAAACAAAATTACCAAATTTGATTAAAATATATCCATAAACAAGCAAACTACAACAGTTTATTTATTCCCCTTAAGAATAACATGGCAACTTTAAATTTTAAGTTTTTTATAATCTCCGTAACCGTTAGGCATACAAGAACACTTCAATGTACAAAACTATTTTTCTTAAGCTCTACAAAATAGTTTGGAAATAAATTGCTACATTTTATGTTTTTTTTTCGGGGTAAAAAATGAGAAAAACCCATTTAACCTCATAAAACCCCCCATAAACCCCTGTTACCATGGTCAGATCATGCTGGTTCGTGGACCCGTTCGAGTAAAACATAGGTTTACACGTTTCTACCAAATTTCATCAAAATCGGATTATTTATTGGCTCGAATTACCGCACTAACGGGAGTATAAATAAATAAATAAATATGTATATATATTAACTTAAACTGAGGGTATTTTTGGCCTCTGGGGACCTCAAAACGAAAAAGTATATCGTCCCGGGTGCATGTCTTACAATGAGTACTACGGTAATAGGTTATTCCCTATATGACAAAATTCGCTAAAGCAGCATCTGGACAGGTAAAATATTGGTCGAGATACAGAAAAGGCATGACACGTTAGCATCTGTTATAAACTGTCGGAGTTCTGAAAAAATACTCCCTTCTGACCAGTATGGTAGCCAGTCCATCTACAACCACCGCCACGCCGTGTCATTTAGCGCTATCGTGTTGTTTCGTGTTCAAATGTCCTGCGTCCCGTGTACTTCCTTAAAGTGTAAATTTTGATGTTTTTTTATGTGGAACTCTGACTATGTTGCATTGCAACGGAACATGTCAGCTTTAAATAATAATTAAAGTTAGACACAATTTCGGACTACTGATGGAGGTAAGTCTATAAAGTCATATATGCGTATTCCAGGGGCTAATATAATGAATAATAATTAACAAACAGTATAGCATTTTAACACATGAACATTTCTGATGATTTCTGGACTTATTTCATAATTGTAACATAGTGTCCCAACAATATTTACTGCTCACATCCCTAAAAATACCTGTTTTCTATTGGAGGGGTCTTTTATTTCACACGGTGGATAGAAGTCTTCTTTCGTGTATGGTACACTTGGGTAATACATGTCTTCAGGGTAAAAAGATGAACCTCCAACGCCAACGCGATTTTTCGTAACCTCTGTCATATGGTTGAGAACAACATCGACAAACACCCTGTATAAGCAATAGAGATTGATTGTTTTAGTATTTTTACACAGTAAACTCATTTTTTAGTATAATACTATTATTAAAAAGTTTAACAAAATCAAATTCCCATTAAATTCATATATATATTTAAATGGTTATTATGGTAAAAGAAGATCATTTTTCTTAGCTTGAAACTTCATATATTTCTTATTTCCATCGTAAACCGAAATGTAATTAATATATGTCTTTGATACCAATTTCAAAGGACTACTGCAAGTAATGTCTACAAATAACCAAAAATTATTCAAAGATTGCAATAACTCAGCTGCTATTCTAAGTTCTAGAGGAGAGGGAATAGAATACCACCCCAGTGGCATCCTCTAGTCATTATTAATTCAATTTCCACGTTATAAATCTGTGTTTTAATTACTATCCGTTATAAATCTGTCCTCGTATAAACTTAGTGTTTTTAAGCACAATCCAAATACAATATGAAATCCCTGTCCCAGGCTGTATTCTGAATTGCCAAAGTCTTTGTGTTGACAATTGCACTAAGATTGAATTTGATTGCGTGAAGATACCTATTTGACAACAATGCCTTTGGAAGCTCTATCAATTTATTCAAAGAACCCATTTATTTACTACCAGATCCATTCGTTTAGTTGATTTAAATTAAATTTTTTTAAGAAAATTTTAAGTGTTCAGTATTTAAAGGGGGTTTCATTCTATAATTAGAGAAATACTGACCTGACGCCCACATTGTTGCACCTTTTGACCATATTCCTCAGCTGGTTCTCGCTGCCTAAATGGCTGACCAGCTGATACGACACTACTTGGTACCTACTCCAGATGTTATCTGAATCAACGTGCTCTGCAGGAGGGGATATCTGTAACAATGGTGGAGAAACTAAATAGAGGCAATGAGCTGATGATTTGTTTTTTAATATCATAGGTTTTTTAAGACATATTTTTGTTAGATATTTCGATCGATATATGCTATAACCTTAAGTTAGGATAATAAACTTACTTGGACACCATCAAATCCTTTTTTGGACAAAAACTGCTCACATTCATCAGCCACATCTGTCCACCGCCACATGAACAAATCTGCGATAACACCACTCTTCAGTTCGAAGGTCTTTCCATGGTTAAGAAAGGCTGGTTTTGCATCTTCTACAGGGATAGAGCCCCCTTTTATCTTCCCAACCTGTAAAATGTATGGTTTTGGTGAATTTCCCATTTGTAGAATACTAGCAGAGTACCCGTTCTTCGTACAGGGTTGGCGTTTAACTGTAAAATGCTTATTGCAGTTATAATCTAGCTTTGCATTTGCAATGGGGGAGGATAAGGCTTAAAGGAATTTGGTTCTTTATATTTACGATATGTTTTAGTATTACAGATATAGTATAGTATATACAGTATAGTATTACTTATCTACCATAGCCATTCTGTTCTACCACTGCACCTAAACAATATAAAAAGTACATGTTCAAACATTCAAACAATATCTTAATTATGTATTAAATTAAAAACATAAAAAACAACCCTACTAAAACGTAAACAATCCTACTTTGACAGTTGTCATTAGTTATCACAGCTTTAAGATGCTGCTCACTTCAAATTAGCTGTTATGATAATTGCAAAAAATATAACAGTGCTGCACCCTGTTGGTAAACCTTACAAATTTTTAATGCTATTGAATATCATAAAGCTAACTTGTTTGGTTGAATCTGCTGACAAAATTATTTAATTCCTTTTAATTGTGAATAACCATAAGGTTAACATGAGAAACTCCAGAGCCAATGGGGTGGAGCCTAAAGGAGTTTTGATATAACAATATGCCTTTATGTTAATCGGGAATGTGAGCTATCATCACCCTACATTTCAGCCCAATCCGACTAGTATTATTCGCGTTTCCTTGTCACAAACATCCATCCATACATATATACATACATACATTCATAAATACAAACTTTCTCGTTTATAATATTAGTATGTTTTGCATTTCCTGTATGGGGTATGTAGGGAAGACGCTATATTCACAGGTCTCATGGTAAAACCCAGACGCAGGACCATTTTACTTTTTGGTTTTGATGTTACCACAGGCCAAGACACCATGAATTTAATTTCTCTAAACCTATTAAAGGCATATTTATGAAATTCAATATACGATAAAAGTAAAAAATAAAAGATTGTATAAACTTAATCAGAAAAAATCTTATACCTTAAAGTTTACTTTTTTGACATAATTAATTAATAATGGCGGTTTAATGAACAAATGTATGATTTTTTAATTTTACTTTTATAATTTTCTTAAAACAACACCATATACACTAAGTTAAATAAGATCTAATAAACAAATCTCTAAAAAATCACGATGTTTAGTAGTAAAATGAGGCATAAAAAGTCTAAGCTAGTCTTTTTGTACCTCATTAAGACCCGTTCTTAACGAAAACTTATGATATATCCTAGGGATCAATGAAGTAAAACAAGGTTAGCTTAGTCTAATTTTGCCTTATTTTAAAGCTAAATGTAGTAATTCTTTAGCTATTTGTTATTTAAACTATTGAAATTGTTGGGGTTTGTGGTTAACAGTTTTCTTTTTTATAAAATAAGCTAAAGTGTGGTAATTTAACCCTAGGACTGCCCTGACCTGATTTATGCTAAAATGCTTGGTGCCCTGGCAATGGTGGCCAATTTATAGGTTTTTTAATAGTTCGCAGTTAAAGTGACGGTTTTATAGATATTTATTTTAAATACAAAAAAAACATGCTAATACAGAAACACAATCAAACTAACAATAATAAACACAAAACCATACTGTTATACTATTTCTATTTCATAATATACGATTAATTATTTGTATCGTTATAATTAAATTGTTCTTTGTCTTGGCATGTGTGTGAGGCATTGAATTTCATATTTTTGAGTTGTTTTGACCTAACGTGACCCAATATTTTTAAGGGTCTCTCAATTATCATTGATTTTTTTTTCATTTATCGTTTCGCAAATGTCTAACAAGGGACTTTTTTAAAAACAATTTTTCGCGATTTTCGTTTGTAGTGCCCCTTAAAACTATTTAACGGAAAATTGGCTGTTTACCTATCGCACACATTTGTATATAATATAACGTTGTATTTTTTTATCTAATGAAATAATTTAAGTTGAAACTAGTTATATTTTAATTAAACTCACCACCAACAAGAGTAAAGCCAGTTGTAACATAGCTGGGTGAAACCTAGTGAACGCCATGCTTGCCACGCTCCAACTGAAATAATTTGTGGAACCATCTGTCCATTAATACTTGTCTCATGAAAAATGTTGATGGTTGGTTAAAAAGTGCTGCAAGTTGGCATTATGTTGATTTGCTAACACAAACGAGCAACATATGTAATTGTTGAACTGTACGTGTTAGCTTTTTTATCAACTAAAAGGATCAGCACTAAGCATAAAATAGCAACTGGAGAAGAACAACCTTCCTGGGTTCAAACTGTAGTTACCCTTTTAGTGCCTTGTGAACCTATTCGTAAGGGTTGGCGCTTTGGCACCAGGGGACCGATCGTTGCTCTGTAATGTTTGATTTCGTGGGAGGCCAATATAAAATCAAAGCGTACATTTATGACTTCTTTAATTTACGAAAAAAAATTAAACCCCCATTTTTACTTCATAAAACCCCGTTCTTAGGTATAATCTAAATGCTGGTTTGAGGGCCCATTCGAATAAATATAGGTTTACACTTGGTACATAGTTTCATAACAATTTTATGAATTTTATTCGAGTTACCGTGCTAATGGAGAGACAAAGGAATCCGGCAAGTGATTTAGCCTCTAGGAAAACCAAAACACACAGGTTATGTGTGAGAAAGGGAAATGTGGACCTAACTTCGCCTGTGTAAATTAATAATGTTTAATTTTATTATCTTTTAAAAGAAAAATAATTGATCTCGTGTCGATAGGTCTTAACATACGACCTACGGCAATGGCTTGTCCCTATGGGGAATTCGCTGTAACTATAATTTATTCCGAAATAAAACATCACTGAAGCATCTTAAAACATTTGTATGAACATTTGCATTCCTCAATATGAAGCCGGTTTCCTATTGCATAAGTAATCAGCATTTTTCACAGACCGCAAGCAAAACGACAGACTTTACAGACATCATGCCGATGAGGTTCCGAAAGCCATGTCTATGTGTAAAAACCAGACAGACTTGATGTGGGCTGTCTAACGCCGTGCCTTAGGGCACTACACAACTTAACTCCACTAACTGAAAACGTTGAATTTTGTCCAATTGCGACATGGTGTCCATGCGTAATAACCAGACAGTCTTGATATGATCCGTAAAAACGCCGTGCCGCAGGGCAATACACAACTTAACACCACTAACTGAAAACCTTGCATTTTGTCTCAATGCGACCTGGTGTCCATGCGTAATAACCAGACAGACTTGATGTGGGCTGTCTAACGCCGTGCCGTAGGGCACTACACAACTTAACTTCACTAACTGAAAACCTTGCCTTTTGTCTCATTGCGACCTTGTGTCCATGCGTAATAACCAGACAGACTTGATATGGTCCGTCCAAACGCAGTGCCGCAGGGCATTACACAACTTAACACCAATAACTGAAAACCTTGTATTTTGTCTCAATGTGACCTGGTGTCCATGCGTAATAACCAGACAGACTTGATGTGGGCTGTCTAACGCCGTGCCGTGGGGCACTACACATTGACTTCACTAACTGAAAACCATGCCTTTTGTCTCATTGTGACCTGGTGCCTATGCGTAATAACCAGACAGCCTTAATGTGGGCTGTCTAACGCCGTGCCGCAGAGCACTACACAACTTAACTTTACTAACTGATAACCCTGCATTTTGTCTCAATGCGACCTAGTGTTCCTGCGTAATAACCAGACAGACTTGATATGGGCTGTCTAACGCCGTGCCGTAGGGCATTACACAACTTAACTTCACTAACTGATAACCAGACAGACTTGATATGGTCCGTCCAAACGCCGTGCCGCAGGGCATTACACAACTTAACTTCACTAACTGAAAACCTTGCATTTTGTCAAATTGTGACGTGGTGTCCATGCGTAATAACCAGACAGACTTGATATGGTCCGTCCAAATGCTGTGCCGCAGGGCATTACACAACTTAACACCACTAACTAAAAACTTTGCATTTTGTCTCAATGCGACCTGGTGTCCATGCGTAATAACCAGACAGACTTGATGTGGGCTGTCTAACGCCGTGCCGTAGGGCACTACACAACTTAACTTCACTAACTGAAAACCTTGCATTTTGTCTCAATGTGACCTGGTGCCTATGCGTAATAACCAGACAGACTTAATGTTGGCTGTCTAACGCCGTGCCGTAGGGCACTACACAACTTAACACCACTAACTGAAAACCTTGCTTTTTGTCTCATTGCGACCTTTTGTCCATGCGTAATAACCAAACAGACTTGATATGGTCCGTCCAAACGCCGTGCCGCAGGGCATTACACAACTTAACACCACTAACTGAAAACCTTGCAATTTGTCTCAATGTGACCTGGTGACTATGCGTAATAACCAGACAGACTTAATGTTGGCTGTCTAACGCCGTGCCGCAGGGCATTACACAACTTAACTCCAATAACTGTAAACCTTGCCTTTTGTCTCATTGCGACCTGGCGCCTAAGCGTAATAACCAGACAGACTTGATGTGGGACGTATAACGCCGTGCCGCAGGGAACTACACAACTTAACTCCACTAAACTAAAAACCTTGCCTTTTGTCTCAATACGACCTGCTAAACGAGAAAGACTTGATTTGGGCCGTTTAACGCCGTGCCGCAGGGCACTACACAACTTAACTCCAATAATAAAAGACCTTGCCTTTTTGTCTCATTGCGACCCGTTCTCATTGATCTTGATATTTGTTAGTGTCGCTCCTCGTTAAGGACTACGAGATTTCATTGTTTTCAAATTGCATTATTTGAAATCAATGAAATCTCGTAGTCCTTAACGAGGAGTTAATTTTAAAAATTGATTAAGAGTTTTTAAAGGGTTTTAAAGGGTGAAAGGTATTGAGTAGTTTGAAAATACGCTTTTGTTGCAAAACCATAAAAATTATTATTTAGCATTCTCTAGGACGTTTTGTCAAATCCCTTAGCTAGGGAATCTACAAATAAAGTACAATTATTTTGTTTTTACCTTTAATACATTAAGTCATGCCATAAATATTAATTAAGTATTGAAAAAAGCTTTGAGAACGGATTTAATTATTAATAATAGGATTTAATTAATATCTGGTTCAGGATTTACAAGACTCAGACAGAAACAATTAGTAATCTGGCGTTGACGTAGTGTTTGCCGTTGCCTGTGACACCATCTGCTGTCCTTTACAAACACTGGTGTGTCTAGTTTAATTGATGCATTTAAATATTTGAAAAATTATAACCTTGTTATCGGTTGAGGATATAGTACTTATAGATAACATTAGTGGATCGACATTTAACCATTGTTAGGGACACGTTTGTTGAAATAACTGTATAAAACTAGACTTGACACTCCTCTTCCACAGCCATGTGACCCACCTCATGGGTGGAATGTAGTGTAACTTAAAAAAAATCGTTTTGTTACAAAAATAGTACACACTAAACATAAAAGTAGAGTGAGTAGATTAAAAACAGTAACAAAATCAAGCTATCTTTACTAATTATGATTATTCCAATAGAATTTGGTACTCACCAGCTAATTAGTAACACATAAGTTCTTTGGTAATCTGTTAGGTAATGAGTTAAGGTTAATTATTTGGCGTGTATTGATAATATTATATCATCCAACATTACATGTTATTAATAGATGGCTAGCTCCCTTAAATATACGAGAATCTTCATTTAACTTTTTTTTTACAATACAGGGTGACAATTAAGTCTTAGGACGACTTAATAAGTTAAAAGCTACAAACTAAATCACCAACAAATTTGGCATATCATTACTGTTAATAGTAAGCTACTTATTTAAAGACATTGTGATCGGATGTTACCAATGGGGATGACCCATAAGGAGTAAGTTGAAAATCTTAGAGGTAAACATAGCTTGATATGTAAGTTGAATAAACTATGTGTCGCCATGCAATTTTCTTTAATGTTGTGGCAACAAAAGGTCAGTATGATTTGCCAAATTGTATTTAAATGTTCAAATACATATCTTGTACTTCGCCTTCCTTTTAATTTTAACAATTCATGCTATCGATAAGTAAAGTTCAACTGTAGTAAGTATTTTATTAACTTTACTACTAATTTGGCCTAGTTATTATAATACTAATTAATTTAATCAGTAATTCATGGAAGAATAATGTAACCAGATTCAAAATAATAAAGACTGCCTGCAGAAACAAGGATTTTTTCCCTTGCGGATCTTTTATATTAAGATTACGTGGTTTTACAGAATGGATAACAACTGATATTTTAGGGTCCAGTTTCAAGCAAATTTGACGTGTGCAGCACACAGAGAAATGGTTTAAAATTTTTACATAAAATTGTAATATTGGAAACTCTCACATGATTATAAATTGCCGATATAAAACCTTTACCACTTGAAAATATATTAAATAATGCAAATAAAACCAATGCAACGAAGATATTGAATCGAAGACCAGCATTTGTCAACAATAGACAATCAATCACTACAACCTACCTTTGATTGCACTCTTCGGGGACTGCTACTTACAATCCAAGGGTATTCTTCTTTTCGTACAGTTCTTCAATAACGTATGTTTTTTAATACGTTGAATGTTGTATTTTATTTATTATAGATGTAATTTAATAATTTTTAATTTATCTAATTTTATTTATTTATTTATTCAAATACAGGTATGCTTAAAAACAAGCTGGCAACACTGCTAAATCGATCAGCTGGTTCAGTGTTTATTTGTCATTCCATTTGACCATTGATGCAACGACTTAACCCATGTACCTGTTGTTGCGTGTTACCTGTTTAAACATTACGAACCAACAGTTATTTTAAGATTTTAAATAATTAAAATTGTGAAGTTTCATTCAGTTTTTATTTGCTAGTATGTAAAACAATTTATTTAGGTTTTGATTTGATTGTGAGTCAATTTCATTTAAGAATACGCAAATTTTTAACTACATAGTAACAGTCAGCCTGTAAATACTTATAATTTCCCATTATTTATTCTTTATTGTAACTGTAGGATAAATTAATGTATTATATGAGCACACTCTCTAAAGATAACTAGTTTACCT